AGACGTGGCCGCCTTAAGTAAGTAGGAATTTAAAATGTTCATTTGGTATAAGGCATACTTCTGAGGCGCTTTACAAAGTAAGCTAGGTGTAATGCAGAGCAGTCGCTCGGAGTAGTTCGGCGCTTGAAAATAACTTCGGCTTCACGTTATTTTGCAACTGACAATATAATGTGTCGTCTGAGGTGTTCATTTTGTGCTTTATTAGTAGATCACATTGGCCATGATGACAATTTTGGTACTAAAAACTGAAAGAAAACATGGCTTACCTCGTAAGGTGCTTACCTATTTTCCCAGTGGGAGTCTTTAGCCGACCATGTATATTATGTATTCTGTATATTATAAAACAAATACATACATATGTAGGTAATATTAATACAATGATTCCAAATATTCTCACTTGGTTTCACTACTGGGGATACCACTGCTGCTGCTACTCTCCTCAACCAGCAAAATAAAACCAAAATTGTGTATTTTTTGCTCACTTATCCATAGAATTGAGCGCGTATGAATTAATCTGAAACACCAATTTTGCGCGGAATTCTAATAATTTTTCGCGGCTTTTTAATGACTCTCGTATTATTCAAATGTCATTTCAGGTACATACTATGTAGATGTGTGCAAAGAACATAGAAATGGTGTAACTGCGGGGCTGTTTCAAAAACTTGGCGATTAATTCACCGCGATTTATTAAAGACACGAACCGATAACAGTTGCACCCTCGAACTTTTACATGTTCTTTTGCATATGTAAACACATGATTATTATCGGAATACGTCGAATCTTGAGTTGCTATTTTAGTAGTAATAACTTTAGCTAAATAACCATATTGAGCAGAATAAATGTATTGGTTTATACTATTTTTCAAAGATTTAATTATTGTATGTATACAAAAATTACAAACTACAGTAAATGTTAAAAATAACCAAAATGGGAAAGATCTTAACAACTTCACAGGCAAGAAAAAAATAACGAAAATTGGTTAAAAGTACCAAAACGGCAACACTGCATATACGTACATACATACATATATTTTTCTCTGCACGATTCATTTCGTTTGTTGTTTCGTCTGTAACTACTAAACTACTGTAGTGTACTATCGCCAAAGTGAACTCAGCCATTTTGTTTTTTCTGTAGATGAGCAGAGTTTTTATGGTTTCAAAATTGGTTGAAAATTACGGCCTAAACCGTCGTTTAAACATTTCCGTATTTGTGTATAGATGTTGCTGCAACATGCTCAATTTGACATGTTTCGCATGTTGTTTCACTTCGCATTTGAAATTAAGCTTTGAAATAAAGATAAATATGAAGATGAAGAAATAAATAATAACGATGAAGTCAAAAAAAGAGAAGACAAAAGTGAAGATAAAGACGAAAATGGAGATAATGACGGATACATAAGAGTTAGGGTAACTGAAAGGGTAAGTAAATGTATTGTATTTTCGAAGTAAAACTTCTTTAGCGGCGATTCGTTGGTTGGGAGTAAATGGGCAATGATGCACACTGAAATAGTTGCAACGGAAACAAGTGCTTCTAATATATGTGGTATTAATTTAACAAAAAAGTGCCAATAAGGGGTTTAAGAATAAGACTGAGATTAAGCCCATTACAGGAAGGAAAGTAAAGCTTGGTACGTACATAGACGAAGAAAAGGTAAAGGTAAATATGCGTAAAGGATAAAACGACGATCAAGGTTAATTTAAACACTGTAAGGTAAAGGTGAAGGGGAATATGCAAAAATAAAGATAAATATGAAGAAAAGTATTAGGATGATAATTGATTGTTATTGATGTAATAATCGATATTGCTATCGATATAATGATCGATATTGTTATCGATATAATAATGGATACTTCCATCAATAAAACCGATATTGTTATCGATAAAATAATCGATATTGTTATCGATAATATTATAAATATTGTTATCGGTGTAATAATCGATATTGTTATCGATATATTTAACAATAGATAAATCGATTTTGGAATCGTCATGTTTTGCGATATATTTATTGATATTTTTATTGGTATATTTATCGACAAAGTTATCGACAGCGTTATCGTTTTAATGTTCGACACTTGACATGTGATCACATTTTATGATATGACATCACATAACATGACATGACATCACATAATATGATATCACATAGTACGATATCACATGGCATGACATCACATGATATGACATCATATTATATGACATCATATGCTATGACAAGACTTCACATAATATAACATCATATAACATGACATCACATGATATGACATCATATTATATGACATCATATGCTATGACAAGACTTCACATAATATAACATCATATAACATGACATCACATGATATGACATCATATTATATGACATCATATGCTATGACAAGACTTCACATAATATAACATCATATAACATGACATCACATGATATGACATCATATTATATGACATCATATGCTATGACAAGACTTCACATAATATAACATCATATAACATGACATCAATTGATTTGACATCAAATGACATCGCATTACATGGAAAAATATTTGTTTCTGTATCGATTAACATAGTTACTGAAAGCATGCGCATTGTATTATTTCAAAATTAAATTGTAAAAAACTAATAACAAGCGAAGCGAAATTAGACATGCAAAAAGAGAGCATAATTGAAGAGCTATCTGCATGCATGCAAACGTCAGAGGAGCGCATTATGCAGCGATTCAGTGAGTTGACGGCTGATTTCGCTAACCTAAAGCTGTCTGTAAAAAACATTGAAGCCCGAGTTACGAAAGCTGGGCTTGAGTGTGCACAAATCCAACAACTACGCGCCGATGTGCAAGCGATAAAAACTTAGCTGCATGATCAATCTGAGAATGCACTGCCACAGCAGCTGAATTCTGATGTGCTAACACTGCGTGCGCATTTGGATGACTGCCAAAAAACTCTTATCTCAGCTGATGTTGTTATAAGAGGCGTTCCGCAAGCAAGTGAAGAGAACTTGAAAGAGACATTCTCTAAGCTGTGTCGTGTAGTTCACATTGATGCTCCACCAGTACGTGCTGCTTTTCGCATACCAAGCAAAGACAACAGCAAAACGGCAGCGATCATAATAAAGATGGGGTCAGCGAATGACCGCTCACTCTTGCTTGGTGTGGTTGCCCGTTTTCGCAAGTCAGCAAAAAGATCACTTAATTTAAAAGACTTTGGTCATAACGTAGACGGGAGAGTGGGCATTTATGAGAGCCTCACTAAGCACAGCCGAGAAGTTATGCAGTTCGCGATGCAGCTTAAAAGGCAGAATCAAATTTCTTCTGTGTTTTCAATGCGTAGCCAAGTATATGTTCGGGTGAACCCCAAATGCAAAGCAACGAAAGTATCCAGCATAGACGGTGTCCAGCAAATAGTATCAATCAACACAAGTAAACAAAAGTAGCGACTACCAACTACAAGTAGAGTGAGATTAGCGTTTAAGAGATTAGTGTTAATCTCTCTTTGTACACAAATGTATGAACTTTAAAATGTGTGCTAATTTATACTTTAAGCGAATGTGTAATAGTATTATTAATCGCCTGTTCCTTTGCTCCAATCTTTCTTTACTTACACTCTCAATAATCTTCCGTACTTTTGACAGATTTTATATTTATTGTAACGAAGCGTTTTCTGTGAAGGCCCCGTCGCTGCTGTTTTCTATGCTGGGGTATACTCGCCGTACCCAGGGTCCGTTACAATAAATTTATATTGTGGGGCCTTTGCAAATAGTAATTTATTTATTTATCCTTATTCTCTATAACGTGGAAATTCTTAAGATTACAAACACAATATGATTAACGGGATGTAAATTCCTAACGGTGCTATTCTGTCGGCGCTGCTGTATCGTCGCTCGGTCGCTGTGCGACGCCGGCGCTCTGCTGCTATGTGGCGTCGGCGTTACTATGCCGGCGCTCTGCTGCTATGTGACGTCGGCGTTACTATGCCGGCGCTCTGCGTCTGTGCGACGTCGGCGCTACTATGCCGGTGCTCTGCTTCTGTGCGACGTCGGCGCTACCGTGTCGGCGCTCCGCTAGTATGTGACGTCGGCGTTACTATGCCGGCGCTCTGCGTCTGTGCGACGTCGGCGCTACTATGCCGGTGCTCTGCTTCTGTGCGACGTCGGCGCTACCGTGTCGGCGCTCCGCTAGTATGTGACGTCGGCGTTACTATGCCGGCGCTCTGCGGATGTACGACGTCGGCTCTCTGCTGCTACGTGACGTCGGCATTCTACTATGCCAGCGCACTGTAGCCCCACGATCGGGCGTCGCTGTCACGCGTGTTCGCGGTGGACTGTGGCGTGGCGGCGCTCTACCCTTGAATAGCCAAGCCTTGTATAGTCGCCTATGTACAAGTCGAGAGCTATTCTCTAGTAGCTGTGCGTTCACGACCACGGCTCCGCTACTGACGCGTAGACTCTGGGCGACGTTGGCGCTTCCTGTTGGTGCGCGGCTGCTGGGTGACGTCGGCGTTACTATTCCGGCGCTCTGCGGATGTACGACGTCGGCTCTCTGCTGCGTTGCGAGCGGGCGTCGCCGTTACGCGTGTTCGCGGTGGACTGTGGCGTGGCGGCGCTCTACCTTTGAACAGCCAAGCCCTGTATAGTCGCCTATGTACAGGTCATGCGCTATTCATTAGCAGCGGTGCGTTCACGACCACNCGCGTTCACGACCACGGCTCAGCTAACGACGCTTAGATTTTGGGCGACGTCGGTCTGCTCCTCTTGGCGGCGTCGGCGCGGGGGCTGGTAGGCGAACTGGCGTCGCCGTCGCGCGGCTTCACGGTTGACTGTGGGGTGGCGGCGCTCTACCTTTGAACAGCCAAGCCTTGTATAGTCGCCTATGTACAAGTCGAGAGCTATTCTCTAGTAGCTGTGCGTTCACGACCACAGCTCCGTGCTGACTGTCTCGTATGTTGCCAAGTCCCATCTGTTAAAGCTGGTGTTCTTCGTGTTGCTGAGTTGTGTGGCTACATGTTGCGTTGCTATGGTGATGGTGTCGCAAAGGAGTGTTGATACGGTCTCTCGTGTTGGTTAGCCGTTTCGATGATGTTGCTGTAGTCGTTATTGTTGCCAGTGTAGTCATTATTGTTGGTGTAGGGGTTTGCGTTCGTGTGGGCAAAATTCCGCGGATATTTAGTCCTCACACTTCCCCCCCTCTTCGGCGGGCTTAAGGCTTGGGATGTTTCTGACATATACGTGCGCCCCACCGGTATACGTTGACTCGGTATTCTCCCGCGCGAAACCTCACACAGGACGCGCAGGTTCCCTCTGCGATGTCGCGTATAGCCCTCCGGACCCTCGCGGAGATCTCCGGGAACTGGTCTAGTGCTGGCCCGTCGATTTCGTCGGCGGGGATTACCGTTTNCGATCTCCGGAAACTGGTCTAGTGCTGGCCCGTCGATTTCGTCGGCGGGGGTTACCGTTTGTCCCATTGGTGGTGTTGACGAGCATCGTGGTTGTGATACTGCTTTAGTCGGTGCTGGTGTTCGGGGAAGTGACGCTGACAGTGGTACTACCTCTGGTGATACTGGTGTGTGTGGCGGTGAAGGTAGTGGTGTTGTTGCCTCTGGAGGCCCCGTGGGTCGTGGTGGTGGCGGTGGTGTTCCTGCCTCCGGTGGTTGCTGGAATACCCTCAGCAGTTTTTGCGCCGCCATGGTCGCCGTGAACGGGCCCGATATACACCCCGGCCCTCCTTCTCCGCGCCCGACGTATCTCAGCACCCTCTCGATAGTTTCCACCACGTATATTCCGTAGTCGCTATTGTTGGTCTGTTGTGGTACCTCCAGATGTACCTCCCGTATGTGGGGGGCCTCCCGCTGATGTCGCTGCTGGTATTCCCACCGGAGAAACTCTCGCCATTCCTCTACCGTGCCAACACTCGCTATCTGTTATGTGGTGGGTCATCTCCTGGTTGGCGAGGGCGAGCAGGTACCAATGGTTCGAGACATTGTGTGGCGCGAGGACAACCCGTTGGCCGAAAAGGTCGGTGTGGCGTAGCCACCGGTGGATGCGCTGATAATTCTCTCCCCTGTCGGGTTTGCTTAATTGCCAGACAACAAACGGGCTGAGTACGGTACCTCGTATGTTGAACGTGGCTTCTAGGCCCTTCGCCCAGGCATCGATGACTGTGTCTGTCAACCAATAGGGTCCTGTCAGTGTCCGCAGGTCGGCCTCATACAGCGCTATTCCGCCGGGTCCTGGCGGGACAATTACTCGTGGGCCCGTCGACGCCTGCTGTGGCGGTTCCTCATCCGAGGATAGCTCGATTTCAAGCTGTTCGGCCAACGCCATGTCGGTGTCCTGGTTAGCCGGTCTGTCGTTGGCGGGACTCTCGCCTGTTGGGCTATCGGTGGTCGTGCTGGTGTCCGATGAGGTGGTGTGCGTTGCGCTGTCGCTCATTGAGCTGTCGCTCGTTGAGCTGTCGCTTGTTGGACTTTCGTTGGGCGGGCTACCAGTGGACGCAGTCTTGTCCGTGTCCATTCCGCTCCCGTGTCTAGTGTCGTGATCTGGAGCTACCCTCCTCACCGAGAAGGCGGCTGCCCCGGCGGTGTTGTACCTGTCGTCTCCCGAAGGGCTGAAGGACGGGGAAGAGGCTAGTGAGCGCCCGGCGATTTCGTGGGCAGCGCCCGCTGCGTTGGTGAACGCCGCTGTAGCGTGTACGGCGGCCGTGCGCGCGGCGAGGGTCCGTCGTGCAATTGTTTGGGCTGCGACGGCGCGTGCTGTTGTAGCCTGTGCGGTGGCGGCATTTTCAGCGTGGGTGCCCGTCGTCATGCTGGCTGTGGTCGCGTACCTTGCGGCTGCGTTAGCGGCGATCGCGTGCACTGACAGAGCGCGGGTCGTTTCCGCGTAGATGGTGATGGCATGCATGCTGGCAGCGCGTGCGACGGCGGTCCGCCTAGCGGCTAGCTGGGTCGCCATTGCCTGCTGCTGGCTGCGCGTCTGTCCAGTAGCGTGCGTTAGTGCCGCGTACATCGCGGCGGCTTTGGCGCGTGCGCGGGCAGCATCCCGTGGGCCTATGGTCGGCCCCACGCCCAGCATCTGGGTGCGCGGTCGCTTCGCATTTTCCTCGGCTACGCGTTCACGCAAGCGCTTCACACTCTTTTCCATTTTGTCTAACCCTTCCATGTTCATGGTTGATAGATTTTCACCTGTTGCAAAATTCTTTCGTTTATTCACGTGTGGTTGGTCCGCTAGTTGACGATCGAATGACGGACTCCACTGGTGCGACGGTCTTGCTAACTTTATTTATTTTATTTTAAATTCCCTTCCTTTTTTCTCTCTGTTTTTGTTTTCCTTTGGGAGTAGAAATTTAATTTAATTTCTTTTATGGTTTTTTTTCCCCCTTTTCCGTGTTGCTAAGTTGCTGTGTTTCGGCCGTCTTGTACGCCTTCAGTTCGGCCAGGTTCGCCGTTCTTGTCCTCCNCTTGTACGCGTTCAGTTCGGCCAGGTTCGCCGTTCTTGTCCTACCGTCGTCGGTCTTTCGTAGCTCCACGATTACCGGGGAAACGTATCGGAGTATCTGGTAGGGGCCGGCATATTTTGGGGCTAGTTTTGCCGCAAAACCCTCTGCTGCCTTAGATAGACGGTGTTCTTTGGCGAGGACCAGCTCGCCGATTTTTGGATTCCACTCCCGGCGACGCAGGTTATAGTGGCGCGCTTGGTCGGTGGTGGCACGTTCCATATTTTGTCTGACGATCCTGAATGCTTCCTGCATCCTTGTGGACTTTTCCTGGGCCGTCGGGGCTATTTCGCCTGTTCCGATATTTATTTCGTCGAAGAGTGCTCCTGGTAGTCGTGGTTCCCGTCCTTGCACCAGTAACGCTGGGCTGAATCCTATGGAGGCTGTGACGCTCGTATTTACGGCGAGTGTGATTTCTGGGAGGAGGTCATCCCACCGCCTATGTTGTGTATTCGTATGCTGTGCGATAATTCGCTTTACAGTGCGGTTGGCGCGTTCCGTCGGGTT